TGGTCGGCGGACGTTGCACAGCCACGTGACACGCTGGCTTAATACAACGAGATGGCTATCACGGTTTCGTAGGGTGCCTGTATACCTTGACGAACGAGGCTCGATCGTTCCGAGGATCAAGATTTCTGCATTGTAGCCGCCACGTGCAGCTTTGCACGGTTAAACGTGCAACACGCGTCTCCCGCTTGATCGTCTTGTATTTACTCGTACGAATTTTTCACAGATCAGTAACGCAAATTACGCCGGTTTCACTTTGCCGAGAGTGATCAACGAGGAGCCCCGTCTCTAAATCTTTCTGTTTGGATTCACCTTTTTAAAGACTGTAGCCTACCGAACCTAATTTAAAATTAGGAGGAACTCTGCTTGTCTAAGTTTAGGAATTACTGCTGTATCGATGAAACAATAAATATTCTCAAATAGCGGATACGTAATGTCGGACGTTACACGATGCTTACAGTTTTAAAAAGACTATATCACGGTTCTCAAATGAGAACGAAGAAATTCCTCTTCCTCGAGAGCGCGAGAACGATCGATCGCGATTGGGGAAACTCTCGGTTTTCGATTTTTCGATGATACACCGGCGAGACGGCGAGAGGCTGGCGGGATGGACGAATCAGTCTCCCCCCGGGATTTTCGAGATGGCTTCTTCCCAGCTTCCGTAATCGAGTCGCGAGCCAGAGAGCGTAGCACACGCGTGCAAGTGCTGGGCGCGTGCGCGTATACGCACACCAGCACCGCGCGCAGATCCATGATTCTATACATCCCTCAAATCCCGCAGACTGTGTATAACCCGTAATCCACTGGTCTATTCTGCGCGATACGCCGCGGCTTGGTGTATCCTGACCCGGTAATATACGTGCGCGGTCCATAATGTGGATACATGTTCGACATGTACGCGAACTTGCACGTTTCGCTCTCTCCTGTTAGTTGGCTACGTACACAATACTCACAGGGTTGCTATGTGCCGGGGTATTAATTTTGCTCCATCCGAGGAAAAACCGACAGACAGTAGACGTGCAATGTCTATATTATAATCGTGTAGCAAATCGCGAATCCATTGGAAATGAAATTTTCAATATGTTAAATTCGCATTTGTACGCGGCAGATTATTCTTTTACAAGATCGAGTCTCTACTTCGATGATAACGATACCAATCGCAACGGGAAGCTCCGTTTTTTAAAGCCATTGGAACAATTTTTCAGTGTAATTCAAACTACGTCAAAAAGAGCCTTTAAAACCCCCTCCCAATACGCAATCGCTAATCCAGGAATCCGTCCAATCGCTTGGTTCTCAACCAACATCCATCAACCATCCCTGGTCGGGCAACTATCGCCGCTAGAACGAATCCGAGACTTTCGATGCTTCATGGATTTTTCCAATTTCCTCTTACAAGATCAACGGGAATAAAGACGGGGGGGGGGGGGAGGAGCAGGCTCACGAAGGACATCGAATCACAGTCTTCCATTCGATCCACATCGATCGGTAAGGTAAACCTAACCGGAGACGTGGGATCGATCGGTCCAGGGTCTTCCTTTTTACCTTTCCGTATTCCGTATCGTAACACGCCTCTAAATAAGTCTGCGTACAAGTTCGCAAAAGGGGAAAAAGAGAAAAAAAAAAAGGAATTACACACAGCATCTCTTCTTGCAATTCTCTCCCTCGATTCCAATAGAGTGTACCTTTCTACCACTTCTGTTCAATTACTGCTTGGAATTTTTCGCTTTTTACGCATGGATCGGTAACTATCAGCGATCTCTTTGAGCACCAAGTTCTTTTTCACAGCACCGCAAGTTTCAATGCGCGTTAAATAATATTTAAGGTTTAAACAAGCGCGAGGGAAGCGAAGAGGAGAGCCGATCCAAGCGTGAGACCGGTACGTGGAGTTGCTCTCGATCACAGGGCGTGCAGGATACGAGCTGCAGTTGCTTGGCCGATGTTGCTCCTAATTCCGTCGGTCGCGCGGACGTCAAACAAACAACCGGCAATTAAATGCAAATACGGCTAATGCGTTCTGGGTCGAATGTGCAAGTCACCAGGCTCGTTATGGAGATCCACCAGCGGCCATGTTGTTTCCATTCCTGGCTTGTACGCGTTTACCATGGCCCTCCCCTGCTATCTCTTTCTCCCGGGTGCCTCTTTATGCCGCGTTGGTCGATAGCCGACGCGTTTTAAAACCGCACGCACCGACAGATCAGGCAAGCCGAAAATCAACCGGACGCGAGATGCCGACGTGGATAAAGCGCCGCGAACAAATACACGAAAATATCGATCGGCGATCCAACGATATTTCGGCCCTTCCGACGATCCTTTTTTTCTTCATCGGACGCATCTCGAGGGAAGCTCCGCGATTAGCTCTGATGGAGAGGCAAGCCGAAAGCGAACACTAAACGTTCAGGTAGATGTGCACGCAGCGAGAGTAAAAAAAACGGGGAAAGATAAGTCCCTTATATAAATGAGATTTGCATGACATTTATAGAGCAGTAGTATTGCTAAGGCTATACATGAATCAAGAATATTAATTATTTGAATTCAGTAACTGTAACGCAAACGAAACGATCAGTTGCAAAATTGCCGGTATTTCAATTGCTCTCAATCGATCGATCCATCATACGTCTACATATTTGCATCCAAGTCACTGTTAATACGTTTGTCGTTCCCTTTTCTCTGATCCTTATCTCTGCATCTTGAGTCAGAGGCAACGTCCTACAGCACTCGTTGCATTCGAATATCACGTAAAACGTGCGAGCAACAATCATTTTTTCTACTCAAACTTCAAAACCGCCAATTTCAAATTTTGGCCGACCCGTGTCGAGATAAATATCGTGAAACAGGACGTACGAATTCTTTTCTCCTCTACTAGCTTGCTGATCTCCCAGAGGTATCCTAGAGGTATCGCTTATCATTACGAAGTTGCACGTATTTTGTCGGACGTCTAACGGTGGATCGGTTATATAGAATCCTAACTGAATCTCTTCTCTCGGAGGAGATCTCTTCTCGTTGGCTCCCTTCTCTATTGCTTTCCACACCACACATCACACACCACACATTTATACCCTCCTCTCACTCCTTTCACCTTATCCTTACCGCCTCGCAGTCTGTTTCTCTTCCCTCGAAACCTTCTTCGTCTTTCTCTCTTCCACGAGTTACTATACGGAGTGTCTCAATAATCATGGTAAACAGAGTGAGTCGAAAACGTAGAATAATCTTCTATTTTTTTTTTTTTCATACGACGTTTCGCTCCAGTTCGAGTACAACATGTATGAACTGTATGGAGCTGATCGAAAGAGTTAAACGAAAAATATAAAATAAAAATCTCATTTATAGAATTTAACAACGTGCTCAGTTAGAAATCGTCCTAAGAATCATAGCTGAAATCTTCAGCTCGTTATTCGAAAGTTACACAGAGGCCTGTGAGAGTTGCTGAAGAAATTTGTTAATTCTTTTAATATCCGAGATATATTAATTGCAATGACAGTTTTTGACGGTACATAGAACAATTGTAAAATGGTAAACGACGGATAATTTTCCGCCGAAGAGACAAAAGATGTTACAGATAGCGAAAAGCCTGATTTTAGTTAAATCATTGTTGGTCAAGTTGTACGGAACACTCCGTACATAACGACGTGTCTATATAGCTCGTTTTGGGTCTTTCTCTGTCTGTCGCGTTTTGCCAGCCCCACCCGTCCCTTCGGGCAACCAATCCTGAGTAAAGTTTGTTACACAACTCGGCGAACTTTCGAAAATGGTCTGCCTCCGCCAAGTAAGCTGTTCTTGGCTCCCTCGTTAGCCAGACTTTCCTCTTTGCCACAGGACTTGCCAGCTATCGCGTCGAACAACCTATAGAACAGTGTTTCCCAACCATTTTTCAGGTCGGCAGCTTTTCTAATAGCCAAATAGCCTCTAAGTCGCTCTCCCACGTAAAAATTAAAAATGCTCTTCAATTTAGTATGCAAATGTGTCTTAATTGTGAGAAACTTGATCAACACTAACTTTGAAAATAATATCAATAACATTTATTAACAACAAAATTCCAATAAAAGCGGATTTGAGAAAGAAAGGAAGAAGAATTTCCGAAGAAACCTGCTCTGTGCCAGTTAATTCCACAGATGATCCATCATTTCTGTATATAATCTTCGAATCGTTCTACGCTAAAACGTTTTTCCTTTTTTTTTTTTTTTTATAATAAGAAGCAAGAGCCGAGCCCATTGTGTATAAAGAAATTTGTGTTCGGACACGACTCATCAAGATAACTCACTATCTCTTATCATTAACTGGTTCTTCGACCGATGTCCATTAACATAAATATCAAATAGATACGTTAAAACACGTTTGTAGTTGGTTTCGTGTTCCACACATTATGGAAATTGCGTTTCACTATACTAGGCGAACATCGTCGATCGTTTTACTTGTTACATTCTGATTTCTGATTCATTTTAATTGTTAAGAAGAGTCTTTCTGTTAAGTGAAGCGATATAATTGCATGTTTGAAAGAGAGATTGGTATCTTAGGAATGATTAAAGCGATCTTTTCTTTGAAAATAATCGTGAATGAAGGAGAGTTGTTTTTATGCGAGAATGCACTTTCTACGATGTACTCTTGTGAATAATTATTATTTTGTGAATAATTTTTATGAACAATAACGTCATTCCGGGATGATATGTGCTACCATCTGATGGAGGACAATAAGTGTAGGTAATAAAGATTATTTACCAACAACTAAAAAATGACAAATTGCGCGAAATGGAAAGATAAAATAGATAGCTGTTGATCGAATGTTGCTAAGGTAGTTTATCGTAAGGAATAGAAAGTTATAATGATTTATAAGGCGAAAGGAGCTTTAAGAAAGATAAAATTGAAGTTCTTCACATTATGTTATGTCAATTTTATATTCGTATTGATTATTGTCGTATGTTATTAACATTCCATCGTGCTATATTATATTTGACTAATAAATAACACACAGGCAAGTAAACTTTACTACTCGTATGAATACGACTCACCATTAGATGCGAAGAACATTATCATCGAAGTGATTGTGGTCCAGAAAATATCATTATGAAGCCCATTATTAAATAGGAATTGTCGAAACTTGCGTTAAAAGAGAAAGTTGGAAAAGATCTGCAACAAATAGAATATTATCTATAATTTATTCTTAAAAACATAATTGATTCTTTAAAAAGTTTACGATAATGAAAAACAAATCTCTGTTGAAATATTAATAACGTAATACTTATTACTAATTATTTAATTAATATAGTTAAAGTTGCATTATGTAGCCTAAAATATTTCTTAATACTGTCAAATATCTATAAATACTTTTTAATGTAACTGATTTTAATAAAATTATACTCTAAAAGTTTATTTCTAGTGTTTCGAATATATTGCGTATTATCAAAATATGGCGCGCTTTTCTGCTGCGCAGCACGCGATGCGCAGAATATATTCAAACCTAACCACGAAAATTTTTCTTTTCCAAAATACCATAGATTATTGAATAAAGTTATTTATTTTCGAATAGAAAGAAAAAACAAATATATAAATACGTTTGCCTTCATGGAAATAAATGAAATGCAAATATATTCTTCACGATATCGAATTTACTATTTTGAATTTTTACTATTTTGAATTTTACGAACGATCGGAGAAAGAAAGATTATTTGGTAATAAATAGTAACAGTATTTCATATATCATTAAAATAAAAGTGAAACCTTACGTTAATTGAACATAGTTGACAATGGTGTGGACACAACCGAAAGGAAAATGTTGGAAAATTAACGTATTTTATAAACTCGCTGGATCAAGAACATCCTTACCGAACACTGTTCTCTTTCCTCACTGACAGTGATAGTACTGCCATCTATCGAAAATAACTGTAACTAAAATATACTATCAATTCCGAATATATACAAAGGTATATACTTCATCTGTAGTGGAGGCGCTGCAGTTTCTTCTTACCGGGTGGACCAGCGACGACGCGGGCGAAAAGAAAAGAAGAAAGAAAAGAAACGGCGGCAAAAAGAAAGGAAATAGAGAACAGAAAATAAAACAAATTCATTAGAAAAGTACGCGTTTGACAAGACTGTTCATTATACGTAAGATTTAAACAAAAATTATATTCTATTGTGGTTACGTTAATCACCGGCGTCAATCACCAACCAGCGTAGCATTATTAATTAAAAGGAGTGGTTACGTTAATAAGCGCAGTATTATTAATTATTAATTAGTTATATCTCCATACGAATAAGCGCAAATTCTAGCATTCATCGAATTTTTTGCAATTTATTCTTTTAGCTTCAGTCGAAATTAAGACAAGGACAAAGATTGTGAGAGCTGGTGCTACCATCTACATCATTATCAGTTTCAACTAACATTAGAAGAACCCGAAAAATCCGATAGATGGCACTATTTGTGTTAGACAAAGATAGTAACATATGCGATAAGGACAACAAAATTGTTGATTTTTAAATTGTCATAACTTTATGAAAGAAGGTATAAGAAAATATTCATTGGGTCTCATTTTAAAGCATAAAGCATTCACTTTAACAATCCTAAGTTCGTTTTTTTCAAAGATGATATTACATTATGCAATGGATGGGAAACTATGAAAAAATTTTAGAGAAGTTTGAATTTTTATAATTTCTGAGAAGGAAAGTATTCTTACTTTTACACTTGCTGCATGATGTATAAATAAATATTTTTGAACGAAAAAATTCAAGTTTATTAAAGTAAAGACTTCACCGTTTAAAATAACATCAAGTTAATTGTTGTACAATTTCTTTTTAATGAAATTATAATAGTTTAAAGTATTAACAATTTTTCATCTAGTATATGAATGTTTTCGTTTTTTAAAAAGAATTTTTCATGAATTTTGTATATTTGATTCAGATCAGAATTTTTTATTTTATTTAACAATTTATTATTTCGTGTAAAACGAGCGATTACAGCGCCCCAACGGAGAAACACGCAATATACTTCCTACGATTCTCGAAATAATCGATATTTCTCACAATCGAATTTTACGCGGGAGAACAGACCTCTAATGGCGGAGGGACGCACACGTCATTTGTAAAAAGGGAAATGTCATCTAGAAAGATCATCCAGAAAGAAGTTACTCAAAAGTTCTTAGGTAAAAATATAAATTAATAGTTGTTATGTTTGTGTTTGTGCTTTGAATTTTTAAGATAAAACGTGCATTTTTGGCTCCAAGGTAAGATTTAACCAAACAATTGTTACATGTAATTTTTAACAATTAAGGAAATAATAACATATAAACGTTTAAACAGAATATACTATGCTAAAAGTTATTTATGATTTTATACCAAAATTCAATTCTAATCAGTACAAATATATATATACATATATACATACACACACACACACACATATATATATATATATATATATATATATATATATATATATACATACATATAATATGCTTTTGCTTCTATTGTAACATTTTCTACTCATTTGTTGATTCTTCAACTTTATATATTACGTAATTCTTAACAATTCCAATGCTAAATTCAACAATAATTTATTAAAAATGTACGTATTTAATAGTTAAAATAATTTTACGACTTAATATAATATTCCACTAATAAATTTTCCACTTTCCAAATAAGGTAAGGCATAGAAGGCCTTGGAGCTCGAAATTCGAAGTTCAAAACAACAACACAGACACATTGTTTATCTGTTCGTCTTGTGTAAGATCACCTATCCCCTACTACTTTCTCAATTGCTGGACGAGACGTGTCGCGGAAAGTCATTCGGCTGTTGAATGTCGTGACAACAGTACGTACTGCGTAGGTAAATTTTTCTAACCTATCGATAGCGTCTCTTCGGTGGCGTCGCTTTTTGGACATTCTTTTATTCAATTATACCTCATTAGTAGTATTATTTGATTAATACGTGTGTGTTTAACGATTAATTGAACATTAAGACAACGAAATCATGTACTGCTTTAAAACTTTTCGCGACAATCTTTCTTCAATTGTCGATTTTACTCATACGGTTACCGGTAGTTTGTCTCATACGCCTTTCCAGTAGAATTATCGTTCCATTTTTACACATTTGCATTTATTTGATGCATTTGTTCTGACTTTTGGTTTCTTTCTGTGCAGGTTATTCCTTGATTGCAAAGAGAACATAGAATGCATAGACGCCACGATTATTAATGGACAATTTGATGAACTTCCACGGAAAATTGATAACATTTTACTCATTTTGGGTAACATTTACACTTTATACATATACATATATATCGATGTACAATTCACAATATGTAATTTCGTAATTATTTGGGATACTGGGATGAAAATGGAAAAAATTAAATCAATTAATGTTTTATTTTGAATATACAGATCGTAGTAGCTTAATGGTATATACTTTTAAATGGATATGTATATCTATATATGGATATATGTATCTGGATGTAAATATATATATATATATATATATATATATATATATATATATGCATTATACTTTGCTACAATATACTTACTTTTTCGAATGTTGACGCACAATTAAACGATTCAAAGCAAGATTTCACACGTGTATGATTTTCTAAATATATTTAGCTCTGAAATTTTGAATTGTGCAAACATTTTCGAATATTTATAACACGTAACATGATGTATTATTAATATGCATACTTCATACTTTAATAACGAACATTCAGAACATAATTTCTACAAATATTTCTGCAAATACTTTACAATTTCTAACTAACATCTTTAATACATATTCAAGTTACTTTATAATCATTTTCTAGAAAAATAAGTACAGTATTTTCTAAATAAACGTACTCCTCCCCTTCCCAACTACTAATCAGCTTTATTTTCAGAAAATTTTTGTGACCGCGCGCAATGCGGTAGGTAGAGTCAGTGTTTGTTGCGTAATATTTTAATATTTGTCAGAGCGAAATGGCTCTTATTAAATTAAATTATCAATTCATTTAAATTTAATTCGCGAAGTTAGAGTCAGTGAGTTTGCTGATTGTTACTTAAACACGCGCGTTCATAGTCCTTTATTTTTCTTTTTTTACATTTTTCTTCTTCAATATTCGTTTTCGATATTAGAGTCAGTGCTCAAGAGGATAAGGCCTCTCCAAGAGATCAAGATCGTAAGTAATTTTACATATTGTACTTTAATTTATTCAATTTTTCAAATTTAACAACAAATTCGTATAATATTTGACGTTTTGTTACAGACAGTTCACGTTAGCATTAATGTATTTTTTGGGGAAAATCAAACGGTGGTTCTAAAGCCAAAAATGTAAGAATCTTTCATTATCTCGAACTTAAAATTCTGCTTTACTTTTAAATACAAATTCTAATGTTTAATGTTTGTTACAGATCTTCTACATTCTCCACTTTCCCCAATTTTTTAAGGATCTTATGATGTTTCAAAAGCTAAAAATGTAAGTGCTTTAGCTTGTTGTACTTGAATTCTATTTTATATAGTTTTTATTGAAGTCGAATGTGAAATTATAATTATAAAATAAAAACATTTCAAATCATTAGTCCTAATTTTTATCATTATTAAAATTTAAATTTTCACAAATAACACTGTGTCTTTAGAAACAAAATGTTTTATGTTTCTCAGGAAATTTTTCACGGCGTTCACTTCTACCATGGGATTCTCAGTGATATCTTCACTTGATGAAGGTCTTCACGATAACTTTTCTTGTACAGTGCAGCATCGATGATAACGTTCTTCACATCTGTTGGGTGAGTCGCATGCATTTATGTTCCTTCGGTCACTCAATCATGTCGTAGGACGAAAGGTCCAAATCGGCACGGGTGACTGATTGTATACGTAGAATTTTTGATGAGCATAGTGACCTCGGATATTTTTTATATCCGTGAGTAGTAACATTTATTCAATTTTATGTATTAGATTAGGATAGGGCTTCTTGCACATCGCGATTTTATCAATTAGTTTGAATATATACAGTTATAATAATTGCTTGTAAAATCAAAATATCTTCAGTATAAATGTTTGCAAAAGTAAAAAAGTTCATATAAATATCTATGGAATAGATGAATTATAAATATTTATGAATGATCATTATTAAAACGATTTCGTTTGGACATTTCATAATAGAGAAGACGGATATCCTCCGACTTCATTGTTATGAAAGATGCAGTTAGTAATATCAATTATTATAACAACTAGCAATTATTAATTAATATAACAAAGTATATTACTTTTAATATATTAATTTTCAATCTCATCTTCTCTTTTGCAATAGTATTGTTTGATTGAATTGATTAAGTTTTATAATTATGAACTTCAGTAGATTTCAAATATAATAGATCAGAATTTTTTCCGTAGAAAAATATATAAAATTTTATGTGCAAGAAGATACCTCGCGACAGGCAGATTTTTGAATCAAGGCAACAAGTTTGCTTTTCGCATTTTCGAAAAATGTTCTTTGATGAAGAAGTCGCCTGAGATTGTTTCTATTAATATTCAATTTAAAGTCATTTGTTTGATTTTGATTGTTTTAGTCAATTGTCAGATTTCAAATGTTAGATTTCATATCTTTTTTTAATAAATTCAATTCTTTGTCTTTATTCTCTTGCAATTTCAATAATTTCTGTAAAAGTAGAGTCATTACAGTTTAAAATAAAATAATGCAATAGTCCGTTAGATGCAAATTATATAAACTAATCATTTTTTTAATTCAGGATTTTCAGGTTTAACCCCTTCCGTGTTCATTGTCAGGATCTCACTCACGTGCCCAGGTGCTACTTGGGTGGGTGAAAGACATTGGGCACGATGACCATAGTTTGTAATTTNGACTGACAGTGTGTTAGCGTATCGTGCACGACGTATTTTCCGCATGTGTGTGTGTGGTTAGGATGTGGAATTGCGTCGTTTTTATTGTCCCATTCACTATAAGTTAAAATATTTAAAATAATTTAAAGACTTATGAATTTATTATCATAATATCTAATAAATCTACTATAATTAAATTATTATTATTGCAATTATACTATCAATTATAATAATGATATCGAGTCAACTTGCACATGCAATTTCTATAGAAATTATATGTATTATTTCTCAGTTATTAATATTAACTGTAAATATAAACATGTTTTAATCACGTTTTACGCAATGATCGCTAGCCATTGTCAGTCGATTTCAGGAAAATGGTACGTAAATTAGAGTGTGAAAGTTGTGTGTTAAGCTCGGGTGTCGGAGGCGTCCCGGGACGTCCTCTCTAGTTTAGGTCCTCTCTGCGCCCGAGCAGTATGTATGAGAACCGTGGAGTGAGTGTGTTGGTGTGCCTGTTTTGCCATTTTTTAAATATAGGGCGATCGGTTAGGATAGGTAACTTACTTTCTGGTATGCCTGTGTTTAATTATAAGTAGGTAGGGCCGGGCAGGTTGGCACAGTCTCTGGTCGCGTGTCCCCCCCTTCGCGTGTCCAACCTGTTTCAGGAAATCTAATTTGAAAAATCGACAGTGAAATCGGTACAAATGGAGCATGCCACTTGTTTCTGGTTTTACTCTTCAATTTTTCGAATTTAGTATCGCGGTCGTGGTCGCGGATAGGTCGCGAGTAGGTCCCGAAACGAACGTTTGTGTAGGTATTACTCGAGCACGCACGTGCGAACGGATAACGATTGCTATGATCGTTAGTCGTCCACGTGTATTGGAGTCAGCTTTCGCGGTTTATCTTTTTATTTCACCTTTATAAGTTATTTTTTAGTTTGCGATTAGAAAGACTCGAGTTAAATGTAAGTTTCAGCGGGCATTGCGCTCGAAGAAAAGAAGAGGCCCGGCAAACTGCCACGAAGAGGGTCACAACAAATGGCTTCTCATCCTCTGGATCATTTAAATGATTCCAGAGCATGGGAAATCATTCTCGTTACTACTTTGTCACTATGCTCTTTTAGTACTTGTAGTTGTATTTTATTTTTTTCTCCTCCATCATAGTTCGTCGTCGTTTTGGGTAAATCGTGGTTTCTCTTGGTAGTGTTGCGAGAGATCGATTACGGATTGAATTAGAGTTGCGAGATAGTTTCGCGCCTGTTTATTAGTGTTGCGAGAAATTGATTACGGTTTAAATTAGAGTTGCGAAGGTATGATAATCGTGTTTGCTTTAGAGTTGCGAATTATGATACCGCGATTGTCTTTTGCAATTCTGATTGTGAATTTTTGAAGTTGTTCTAGAATTTTACATAGTTAAATTTGTCTTGCTTTCTGTTGTTTTAAATTAGATTATAGAGTCATTGCTTTCAATTAATTTCAGAATATTTCAACTAGTTTTTTGTTCATGTAGTAGCTTTTACATTCTTGATAATAATTCTAATTGAATTTGGTTTTAGAGTTAGTGTTGCGACAATATTTCACCGCGATTTCGAATTACTTTTACTCTTACAATTAGCGTTGCGATATTGTTCCATCGCGATTTCCAATTGCTTTTCCTCTTAGTGTTGCGATAATGAGTAATGGCATTTCTTGAAGTAGTGTTGCGTTTACAAAATGCCTAAGTTCTGGATTCGTGTAAGGCTGTTCCTGTTCTTGGATCACCTAATGCAGCTACAAGAGCTGTACAGAAGTGGTCATTCATCAGCAACCATAAGCATGGTTGCACTGGACGCGATGCAATTAGTGTTGCGTATTTTTAAAGATGAGTGCATAGATTAATAGCGTTGCGTTTTGGGAGTTTTAAATGTGATGAAGCACTCTTCGCGTTTGATTTTAAAAATTTTCTATTTGATAATTAGTACTAGTGAATTAGCGTTGTGAAACAAGATTACGGTTTGTTGCTCGGGTTTATGTCGAATGTAAATAATTGTACAATAGCCCTTCTGGTTATTGTTTTGAGTAGAAAATGTTTTTTTTTTTACTAGTCCTTCTGGCTACTGTATCGTGATTTGCTTTCTCAGTGGCCCTTTTGGTTTTTATTTTTGTTTGTTTCTTTGTCAGTAATCCTTCTGGTTACTGTATTAGGTTTTCTTTTTCAGCACCCCTTACTACTGCGTTTGTTATTGAAAATACTGCTAAAAAAATATATACTTTTTTATTAATTTTTGACTAATGAATGTGTAAGTGACTTCATGTGTCACGTACATATAAAACAAAGTGTGCAACAAAATATTTAAATATTACAATGAAAATTTGAAACTCTTTTTGCAAAATAATTAAATCGATATAAGTATTTTGTAGAGTTTCAGTTTATTTTGGAATATGAATTAGTATCCATAGTTATTGGAGTCAATAATATTGATTGTTCGTTATTGGAGTTGTGTTTTATATCTTGACAGTAATTTGCTTTTTTTTTGTGTAATATGTCTTCATTGCAGATCATTTTATTTAAATTACAATATTAATTCAATACATAAGTTTGTTTCAGACGTATTAATTTGCAGAGAATATTAGTTACAGAAAATATATAGAAAATATATATGTACACTGAAGGTTTACAAAGATTGTGAATTAAAGAAAGTGATTGATGATAGGAGGGAAAACAAAATTATGTTTCATCCAATTGTAAATAATAGTTATATTTTACAGATTTTATTAATTTCTTTCAGTTTCTTAGGTTTGTTTCAGGTACAGATTATAGACTCAATAGAAGAAGATTTCCTACAGTACAACAGCTTGAGAAATTATAAGAAGATTTCTATAATATGCACTTCATTCCTTTTTAATTATATTTATGTATTTATATAAATAAAGTGAATAAAAATCATTTTGTAAAGGTGTTAGTTAGGTTAATCTTAATTAAGCTACAAGTAGTTTTAAGCTAGGCATTGTGCTGTTGTTGTATAGTGATAGTTTTAAATTGGTTATTAGATTCAAGCTTAAGCATGGTAATTTTAAATTGTTAGTTGGATGTGTGTAAAATGTGTTATTTTCTAAATGCATGTATGGTTAAGGATAGTTAATATTAATTTAAGTGGGATAAATAAAATTCTACGTGAGACACATATGTGTTTAAGCTTTTTAACTATTGTTATATAGTCGATGTTATGTAGAATTATATAGTTTAAGCTTTAATGTACTATTTTCACTGAAACTTAGTTTCCCGTGTTCGTTTCCTTGCAGCTTCTTTTGTTGTTCGGTTTGCACGACGATCAAGGGATTGGTCGTTTTGCAAACGTACAATAGAAGAATTATAGATTTGTAAATTCATGTTTTAAATTAGTAAATTTTTGTTCGCGAAAGGAGGGTGGATGGGCCGCGGATAGGGTGGGTCTCCACTCGCAGCACCTCCACGTGGTGAGACCTGGGCAATCGGTGTTATTTGATATATAATTACTAATTGCATTACTAGCTAGATAATTAATTACAACTGATACAATTATTAATTATATAGCAAGTAATACGAGCTGATTGGCTGCGATCTTGATTAAATATTGTTTGTGTAGATGTATGTACATCCATTAGACTAATAAAAAATAAATAATATAGTAGTTTTACAAAATGTAAATATAATGAAGATAAAACAAATTCTTTTCAACGAACTTAGATACTTTTTAAATAATATTTCATTTTTTATAAACTACGTTCAAAATTGAAATGAAAATTAAATGTAGATACAGTTGAAAGCATCTGTTTTGAAATACACAGCCATGCTATGCAAGTTAGTCGTGTTAAATAGTCGTTTATCCGTTTTGTCTGACCGTATATTGCCGCGTTCTACTTGCTCTACTGACGAAGGCCGATTTAAGTAGTAGAAGTCAGTATTTGGACAACCATAACGGAAGATCATTTACGGAATCGTAAGAACAACACCAGAAATTTCAACTCGATAATTAGATTATATCAGAATGATTAATGAGTAGAATTAAATATGTCAAAATTGGGGAAAATTTTAATTACTCTCTAAAAACTTTTGTGAGATGCACTCATAGAAAGATAAAAATTTTGTTTAAAAGAAATTAAAAAGTATTGAATAAAATTTAGAGATGTCAGAGTGTTCTTCTGCTTTCCAAAGAAAGACGAATATGAACATGGATTTAGTTCTTGTTATTTCAGTTGATGTGATTGCACAGGCGGCATTTTTACTGCAGTCCAGTCTCTCGCGTTCTCATTTGTTTGTCCATGCGCGAAATAATAAATATTTGCCCCGTTTTCTTTTCTCATTGCTGGCCAAATGTCAGCTGTCGTTAATTTACGGCTGCGTAATTCCGTCAGATTCGTAGATTTATCGTCCAGCTCGTAAATTTAGCTCTTGGCGATTATACAGTCTTATAACATCAACGAAAGAATTCAAAATCTGTTTCGCAACTATCGAACAACGCTCTTGTTTCATCTTGGCTTTGCTAAAACGGAGATTAACTTTCTCTCCTCTGAAGTATAACGATAAAACTTTGGGAAACTTAAGGAAAATTCTAATTCTTTTCGCCTTTTCTCAATATTTGAAATCGTTACGTCGAATCACCTGTACATCCCTTTTCGTAGTAGCAACGAAATTTTTTATTCCACAGAAGTTATTCCCTTAAAAGTTCCTCCCTGTAATTCATACACACAACTCCGCCAACTATCAACAAGTAACCAAGTTTACGTTCTAGGAGAAAAACTTCGTGCTGGCGAACAATGGAAAGTTGGCGGTAGCCAGAGCAGGGGGGAATTCATTAGAGGAAGATTGAAAAGAATAACGGAAGGTAGAAGGGAAATCGAAACGAATTGGCCCATAAGAAGTGATTTCGTAGGTAGGGAACGGCGATTCGCGTCGAGGGAGATGGTGATATACGCGTTGTCGATACGTCGATCGCGATAACCTGGACGCCCGATAAATTCGACAACGATAATTCGCGTACCCCCTACTTTTATCAGTATTCGATGTCCCTATCCGTAAGCGGATATCGTAAATTCGTAAAGGTAAATCCCGTTTGCGTACGCGCTACCGTTTTATCGCGCTATCGCGTTTAATTATACCGATCGCCCGTACCGGTGCTTTCCCGTACCCTCCATTTTTCCGCGATTCACCGCGCGTAGCAGGGAATTTTGGAAATTTATGGCAAAAAAATTAAAGAGCGTCGAACTACGAACGATTACGAGTAAAAAAGTTCGAAAAAGATGGGAGAAGCGGAGGGAAAGGAATTCATGTAACTGGAGAACTTTTTAAAGCAAAAGTATGTATCGGGCGAATATCTCGCCGCGTGTCCGCGTGTTGGTACCGGTGAAAAATATCGGTGCCGAGCAAAAATTCATTCAACCGGCCGTGTCACAATTAATATAGCGCCGGTGTGTCGATATAACACAATTTTATAGAGCGAGTTCGAGGCGGTGCCGTTGTCACCGGCGAGCATTTCGATGATTAATGCGCGCAGAAATTTCGAAGCAATGACGAAACGCCGCGGGCGAGACGTAACAGACGGTGTGTACGATTCGATAAATCATAGCGTTTGCTCTCACCGCTATAATCCACGATTTTTCACCCGTTCTCAACGGCTCCTTTCGTACATTGATCGAACGTAAAGAAACACCGTGTCCTGACCACAACGAGATTCCATAAATCACGATTCTCAGCTCGCTCCAAATTCGCGTTTACGCGCGATGCACTTAACGGGAATTGCACGGATGAGCGTAATTGCAGTCATGAATTCCCAAACACGGTAATTTTTTTTCTACCGTTGTACGAATCGCACGAGTTGATTTATTTTACGGTGAAAATAATGAAACGGTTTGAAACCGTGGGTGAGTCGAATTTTGAGATATTTGAGAATTCACGTCCTCTCCAAAAAGAAATCCGTAGGTGCAGTAATTAAAGAAATGCGACGTCCTAATCTCGTGTAAAGAGCAAAGATAAGAACCGTTAAAACGGAACGCTGCAAGTTGGTAGAGAAAAATCATCGTTAGACCGCGTCGGTGCGTGTATATTCCATTTCACCGTTTATTCTTTAACGTTTCATTAAGTGTAATGGCTTGCTTTCCATTACCGGCGAATAGTACTTGTAGTCTGGCGGTCGGTTTGTCTGTTACCCGTGCACTTGGTAGTAATTACTGGTGAGCCTAGCGAATGCACTTACCTTAAATGACGATCAGAAGATATAAGACGACACTGCTTGCCTCGCTGTAACGTCGTTTCGTTGCCCGCAGAGAGGAACAAACCGTTCTGCCAGAATTTTGGATCCATTCATGGAAACGTCAGGTTAAAATATGTACGAGCGGAATCGAGGGGGGTAGTTTGTTCGACTAGCCGAAATTAACTATCGTGGATTTTCAATTGTGCCGAATTGTTAGATCGTTTAGAAAGTTCGTAGCGTAAATTATATATTCGATAGAGTTTCTAAATAGAGAACAACGCTTGCGAGAAATTTCAAAGTATGTAGAAAATATCAAAAATGTCTTCTGCAACGTGAAACGATTTTTCATCGAGTTGCAATCTATTTGTTAAATTACATTTTCAATGATATGATTCTGCATAAAAATTCGCTGATTATTCCAGACAATGTTTATTACTGAATAAAAAAAAAATTCCTAAATATTGGCAACAATCTTGACATCAGCTACGAAGTTTCCGTAAAAGTGCAAAAATGATTTTTCAAGCATAAAGGTGAAAAGTATTCAACGCTCGTTGCTCAATAACGATATCTCAATGGGAACACGAACTCAGAATATATTTAAACGCCTGAGTATGTGCATGTATATATATATATATATATATATATATATATATATGTATGTATATGTATATGTATATATTTATAATCGCGTTCATCATAAAAGTACAATAATAGCTTTATATCAAATCACGAAGAGAAATTCAATATTCACACGGTAGGCGCGGACAATTAGCTCTTAAAGGTACCGATTTACCGAGGACTCATTTTCGTGTGTTCTTTTTTGCATATTTTCTCTCTCCCTCTCTCTCTTTCTCTCGCGCTCTTTCTCTCCCTCTCTCTCTCGCTCTCACACTCTCGTATTCTCTTTTTTTTTTTTTATTAAAAAAAGAAAGCTTCTCGTGTGTGTGTTTATATGTGTGTGTGTGTGTGTGGTACGATCAACGTGTATGGTCTCTTTCTTTTGTCACTCTCCCTTTCTTCTCACTCTCTTTTCTTCTTCTTCTTCTTTTTTTTTATTTTTCTCATTGTGATAACGAATAAAACGAACGGCGTTGGACCAACGCGGAAAATGTATAGCAGAATACTATATAAACAAAGAAAAAATACATAGACAATGCAATAATAACAACAGTTACAAAAGAAACGCAAGTCGGCTGTTTCGTTCACGACGGAATGACTGGATCACGAAGAAACCTGAGCTCGTATGCTTCTGACGCACATATGATGTTGGGTATGTTCGTTGCACAAGAACGAAGCCATGCGAACCCTTTACTTTTTTTTTTTTTCTCTTCACAGAAACAAATCCCTTTACTCCTTTTCTCCTATGAAGGCTTTTTTCGCCTTCCTCTTTTGGTCAACCTACCCTATCCTTCAACTTTCACACTCTCATTATCCGAAGAAATATTTCTAACAATCTGTTAACCGGGTCATACATTGTTAATTGAAATTTCATCTTTATCATTACTGATACAATCACTGCAAACGATAATTTTCCTACTCTTCGTTTGCTATTTAATTTCACTTGTTTAAATTTATCAACTTTTGTCGTCTAGAGAAACTCGAAAATTCTCGTAGGTAATGAACTTTCACCCAATTTTCGCGAGTTGAAATTTATTTTGTAGAAATGAAACAAGATATCAAAATATATGTATTTACAAATAAAGAAATCACTCTCTTGGAGATTATGAATCCAAGCGAGCCCGGTTAACAAAGATTCTCCGAATTACATTAAACTGGTCCGTAATTGAAATCAATACGCAGTGCTCTTCGTCATGTAACGCGCGTGAGGAATCGTCAAATATATTAAAAAGAAAGGAATAAAAACAAAGAAAGTCATATCAGTGAGACTCGTAAAAGTATCAGTAATTAACTCTGCTGCTCTCTCCAGGTCTATATTAATATCCAACGTAAGTTTACTATCGTTTTCTATATTTTCTATATTTTCTTCATAAATGAAATATTGTCAAAAAGAAAGAAAAAAACATCTGATGAAGATGAAGAGAACAGTAGGGTTAAATACAAGTCAGTCACACAGTGTACGCACCGTATTGATCTTCGATAGCTCGTTTAAGTATGATACTTGTTCGATTTCGATTCACAAACCTGTTTCCGTAAAGGGTGCAACGACGGCGGTCAGGATAGGAGGCACTAAAAAAGGGCAGACGAAACGGGTGCTGTGTCAAGGGCGTTGTAAATCAGGCACTTCATAATGTCCGTCGCCCTTTTCGTGTCGCTCGTCTATGAAACCATCTGAGTACTCGCGGCTTTTCAAAAAAGTTAATTCGCCGTTCTAACACACTCGTGGGCGCGTGATTATGCACGTCGGCAGAATCAGCGACGCGCCTGACCGTTCGAAAAAACAGATGTACACCAAAACACCTCGTTCATCGCCATTCACGCAACCGCACTGTGCCGATTTCATCGTATTATAGCGAGAACAAACTGTCACACTTTCTTCGTACAATGCGCCAGAAAAGAAAAAAAAAAAAGGAAAAAAAAAAAGAAACGCGTCGTCTTTACTATCACGTTTTCGTCATTCTCCCGCCATTTTGTCCATCCGAATTTTTACATTCTTTTCTCCCTCTTCGTCACTCGTTTCTTCTCCTCCTCTTCTTTCGATACATATAACGTTTATTTTGTTCTTTTTTTTTTGTTTTTCTTCTTTTTAAATAATGTTTTTGTTCTGTTTTTTTTTTTTTTTTTTTTCACCCCGGACCACTCTGAACGATCTTTGATCGAGCATCTCGATCGTCACAGATTTTGCAATAAAACCGACACGCGAGTGGGTGGCTGTTTCATTCGGTGGTCTTGAGATTTGGGTGACCTTCGTCCAATGGGTCGATGATAGGTCCGATGGTTCAGTTAGATTGGCGAAGGGTCTAGGTCATCAAATCCGTCGTGTCGTCCGCGTATGCGTCGTCCGGAGGTTCCACCCTCACGGCTAACTGCGTGTAACCCTTGTTCGTTTCTCTCCTGCCCGACATTGCCTGGAAATTGAAGAGAATTTCGATTTTGAGGTTCGTCGATTCGTTTCTCCTCGAATGCAAGAGAAATTGTTTTAAAAATACAATTTCAAGAAATAATGTAAATTGAAATATTGTACTTGATAATTTCAAAATAATATCGGATACTGTGATGACCGATAGGATGATCTAGACAGTTTTGTGGACATTATCGGATATTAATTTCGAACTGACGATGAAATTAGTGAGATTAAGTGAAATCGGATGCATACCTGAAGAGCGATGAATATAGTAGCGAACAGAGCAACAGATATGAGACAAATGGCGACAGCTATGGTTGTGGTCGCTGTTATCGCCAACGAAGCTGAATCGTTTTTATCGGTTGTCCCCTCGTAGTTTGCATATACTTCAGAAATGGCTGTGTCAGCCGGGACGAACTCTGTTCCTGGCACTCTTCTTTTGCCAGCTGGCGAGCTGTTCCTGCAGCCACCTATATCATCGTTAAGAAAAAAAGAAAAAAGAAAAACATTTGACTATCTGATCAAATAAATTTCTACGAGACAATTTAAGAGGAGGAAACATTCTCTATCACACTTGTGCAATTCTTCGCAACGCTTCACGAGTTATTTCAAACAGATTTTTAAACGAAGAAATTGGATAATTCTTACAAACGTCACTGACGAAGATTGCTTTTGAATTAAATATATACGACGTTTCGAAAAAAATTAACGTTCAACGGGAGGTTTCTCTCACCAGTTTCTGGATCACAGAGGCAGCACTCTTCAGCCAATGCTCCTTTCTCGTTACCCGTACAACAAGGTACACATTGGTTGTTCAATTTGTCGAGATGCAACGGTGGCGAACAAGCCGCGCAACTAAATTTCCCTGGGCCAGTGCACCTTCTACAATCGGAGTGGCAATTTTTACAGAGCTGCGTCAGAGGATCGTAGTATTGCGCCCCAAGACACTCCATGCAGAGGCCGCCCTCCAGCATCGAGTGGGGTGGGCAAGAAGTACATTCCATCGGTCCTTCTCCTGCAACGTATTCACGTGTCAACTTTCTCTTTCACGCGCACGAGATATCCACATATTTCGATCCATTTTTATAACAATGGAAATACGTTTAAAAATTCTTCGAAAGAAATTGAATTGCAAGAAATTTACGTGCATGAATTTCGAATAATTCGTTCGATGTCGGACACTGTACTCGAGAACGCGTAAAATACTTTCAGTATTTTTATAGTTCTTTCTTTTTACGTACCTTTGCACGTGCGACAGTAATGGTGACACTTCTGGCAGCCGAAGTTGGATTTGAAGAATCCTTCGGGACACTCCGGATGACACTCGCCCGCAGCTAGTTGCCAACCACGTGGACAAGTCACGCATTGATCTCTTCTCGGTCCGGAACACGTTTTGCACGAGAGGTAGCATTTCGCGCACTGGCCTCGATCGCTGTAATATCTGCGTGGAAGCAAGATTTCTTTTCGTTTATTATTATCATTATTTAGAATTATAAAAGGTTTCGACTAGGAAATGTCCGATCCTTGTTAATTATGTTAACTTCGAAAAGAACAAGGATGGATTGTCGGGAGATGCTTCGAGTTTCATCTCTCAGTCTCCAACCAAGAAAGCCAAAGTATATAATAACCGAAGCGAAACAATCCAACGGAGAGGAAATGGGAAGAATACTTAATTTCTCCAAGGCAAACTCACCCCTGAGCGCACGAGGATCTACACTCGCCGCTCTGCAGTTGCAGTCCATCTTGACAGGCGGTGCAGTTCAGTCGAGACACGCACGTTTTACAAGTGTGCAAACAAGGTACGCAGACGGGCCTAGAGGGCTGCGCCATCGAATAATAACCGTCGTCGCACTGATACACGCATCGTTTCCCTTGCAAGAGCAGCGACGTCTGACAGGAAATGCAGTGATCCTCTCCGGATCCAGCGCAGGTTTTGCACGAGGTGTGGCACTGCTTGCAGTGGCCGTTCTCGTAATATTCGGAGGTGTCGCAACGATCACGATGCTCAGGAGCGCAGAGGCTTTCCTCGTTCAAGCTCCAGCCCTCCTCGCAACTTGTGCACGTCGACATGGCGCAGGTGGCACATCCGGGCGGGCATCGGACGCACTCTCGACGCTTCTTGTCGGCCCCGTAACCGAGTGGGCAGGACGCTCGACAAGTTCCTGAAATTTGTGGTCGATTCATTTCGAATTAATTAATTGATTGATTGATTGACACGACCTGGTCAATTTATTTTATCCACGGAGGATCGAATTTTTATTTACGACGAGCGAGATCAGCTAAAAATCAGAAGCCGTAAGTAATCGAAGCAGCCCCCCCCCCCCCCAGTCTGTATCCCCGAGGGTGACAATAAATTACAGCGTGATCGCTCTTCATTTTTATCCCGTTCAAACGGAATACCTAATGAAGCTAAACGGGCCAACGAAATTTAAAAGCATGATTTATTCGAAACACTGAGCCTCTTACCAGGGACACCCAGTTACCAAGAGAAATAGGTATCTGGGTTATCGGTTGCGCCCGGGTGTCGTTTTTAAGGATTAACACGTCCCCGGACGGCTACGTACCGTTCAGAGAAAACAATCCGGGTCGACAGGAGATGCATTGGTTCTCCGCGGTGCCGTTGCAGGTCTCGCAGGTGGAATGACACGGCGCGCAGTTGTAATCTTGCGTCTCGTACGTGTACAGGGGACACGCTGCGTAACACTTGTTTTCGTACATAACCAGGTGATGCTCGCAGCTGGTGCATTTGTCCGGCCTGTCTTGGCAACTGGCACAATTCGCCTCGCACGGCACGCACGTACTGTTCTCCGTATCTGTGGAAATATCCGTACCTGTTAACGTTTGCTTCGAGAACTCTTCGACATCGGGACTAATGAATTTGATGCGAGCCTCGAGTTACATCGTTTCGAATTCACTGAAATGCACGCTTACTCTCGTAGTATCCTTCGGGGCATTGCTGAAGACACACGGCTAAGTCAGTAACTCGTAGGTGAGCAGGTGCGCAGGAGAGACAGGAATCCTGGCCAGCTCCGGCACAGATCTCGCAGGATTCATGGCAAGGCCAACAGACGCCACCTTGATTCGGAAAGCTCCTCGGTGGACACCGACTGACACAGGTGCTGCAATTGCGATTTTACAAACCAAAAACTCTCTCGAATTGCCATCTTACCGTCCCAAATGCTTTTGTAAGTTGTGTGTACACGAAGGCCGCGGTAAGCGTTAGTCGCATGGTTTTATTCGATTTCGAGGGAATGGATAAATCCTAGATTAATGGTTGGAGCAAAGTTGTTATGTATTATTGCTTGCGCTCTGAAAATTGTTATTGACGAATTTTTCGAGAATTTTCAAGTAAATCATTCGTAAAAATCATTCGTATGAAATTCGTTAGAAGAAATATGGCGGGAGTCCATTTTTCCAGCTGAAAAAAATTACTTGCATTAAAAGCATCAGTCTGAATAACGGTTTCGAACGTGTGCAGCACACCGGGATATATATATATATATATATATATATATATATATATATATATATATATCGCAAATACGAAATAAACGCGGAGACAGGTCCTGAGTTTTTATCAATTTTTTTCCCCCCATTAACTATTGTGAAAAAGTTACCTCCGCGATATCTTTGCGAAACGAAATGACAATTTACTTGTTAAAAGAGTTGGTTCTTTCGAAAGTCAAGAGAGAAAGAGACAAAGAAACCAAGTGTTTCGCAAATTAGGAACGTGCAAGTCTACGCGAGTTAACGTGCTGTTTCTACAAAACATCGAAAAATTAAGGAACTTTGGGAACGTTTGTACGTTGGCGAGATTGCTTTCCCCGTGCAAACTTTTAAAAGTTGGTCCTCGACGTCTTATTTTCGGGTAATTTACAAAAATCTCAGATTTTTAGCTCGCTAGCCCTTTTCTCAAAACTGTACAAGATACTTTAATTAGAAACAAACGCGGCATCCTTTGTCCGAAGTTTTCCAGTAGAAACACGTGTGCAAAGTGTAGAAAGAGAAATATTTAAATAAATATAAGGTGTACAATTGTGTAGCTTACGTGAAAATTCCTCTCGCGCAGCGACAGAATATTTTTCATAGAATATGTTGGAAATTAAACGCGCAGTATGTGACGTTTGAAAGAAAAATGCAACGCACGCTGTAATGATTTTAAAGTTCAAGAATGACATTATCATCAAGAAGATAAGATTTTCATTCGCGATCGCTCTAATAACCTCTTAACAGTGTTTGAAGCTCGTCTTCTACATCTTCTGCCAAGCGTTTCCAGTAAGAAACGGAAGATGTGCTTGTGTCAAAGCGATTTCACTACACGTGCAAGTAAAATAAAATAAATCACCGCACCTAAGTAGACAAATAATCGAGAAAGCAAACGGAGCAAAATCCCCGATTAAAGAAGCACGAAAATCTCGCTTACTTGTCCAATCGATAATTCTTGCAAGCGATGCACTGCGTCGGCCCTTTCCCATAACATCCCTGAGGATCGCATTGAGGATCACAGTCGTGAAGTATCTTTCTAGTAGTGTCCAGCGAGTCGTCTCCGACTTGAGAGGAGGACGACGGCGAATCGTAGGAGGAGGACGTGTCTCCGGGCAGTCGATTGGTCAAGATCGGCGCGGAAGAACCGTCCAAAGTGGCCACCGATGCCTGCACGTTTGACGCAGCGCCGACGTACGGGTAGCCCTGGTAGCCCTGAAAGATAGACGAAGGAAAGAAGTCGACGTCGCCGCGATGGCCCAGTGCTAGCGGATCATCGTCTACATGGAATGGATAATGCACGGAGGCGTACGAAGAATGCGCTTGTACCGGGTTAAATTGCCGCGTTCGTATCCTGATCGGGTTGGTCGCGGTGCCGTAGAAGATCAGCTGCCACTTCTTCAGGATTCCTGCAACAATGGAACATTGCATTCAGACAGAGTGGACGTTTGCGCGCGCGCAAAGATGAAGAAATGGAACCTGAGTGAAGATAAAATTCATTTTTTTATCCGCTGTAACGAATATTCCGAGATATGCATAGATGCGCGAGAATTTGTCTAACGACAATCTAGTTATGAGTCAATATGACCAACTATCCGATTTGTTCAATCGATATGGAAAATTAAGAAACAAATTTATCCTCAGACTTAATTGCCTGACGATGGCATGAGCGACGCGTGATTCCTGGAAAAATAAAAGTCAGATTAAATAAAAGAAGATTCTCAAGACTTGGTGAGAATATAACTCTTAAACAAGAAGAAATTTCTTTCAATCTTTAAACAAACAAAAGAGAAAGTTTGCGATATAAAGGTTAACGTATCTGAACGAAACAAAAGAGGCATAGGGATTACTGATTTAAATGGCACTTCTAATTTTCACACGGAACGGTACGATTACTTGCCTGGAGAATTCACGTGCCGATTTCCTGCGTTAATGATCTGCAGTGTCCATCGACCGTCCGCCTTCTCGCTCCAGAAATGCACGCTGAGGAAAGGCCAGTCGTCGAAGCTCGAGCTAAGAACATCCCGCGGTCTCTCAAACAGCAACGTCGACGTGGTGCCCATCGGAGAAGTCAGCAACAATCTCAGATTTCCACGCGGGAAAAACCTCAGGGATACCTGGATCGTCAAATCGCAAAGTATAATTTAAATGCAGTCAATTTCCTTTCTTTCTTTCTTTCTTTCTTTCTACTTTTCATTCAGTTTAAAAGATCGCCAGGCCAGAGATGTCCTTACTCGAATTCTATTTCGACAATTTAAAACGTATTTGAAACGCAAGCGGTGAATAGATAGAGGGAAAAGAGAAATCTTCTTGTTCGCAATTGGCATGTAATTTTCTGTGACATTTTTTAGTTTTAATATCGAAACAGATTCTCGCAGAGGGGAAAAATGACTTTTAAAATAACGTTAGCGCGCGGTACGATTCGTTCAAGAAATGTGAATATTTTTCTGTTACATTATATATGTATATATATTTTTCTGCTACATTATATATGTATATTCCCCGCGTGGTATATATACCTTTCAGCTCGGCTAAATACATTTTTAATGGTATAGTTCTTTTTATATTCGCGTATTACGAACAACGCGGACATTTGCAAGTTTCTCTCTCACTGGCCGTAGAAGCGACGATCATTAAAATGTAAATGTTCTTTTTTTCAAGCTTTAAGTTTTATGAATCATAAGCCAGGACAAAATATACATTTACATATACATAAAGTAAAAATAAATTTTATTATAAACGTTCTTGCTTTTCCACTCTCCGGTGCTCTTTCCTTCCGTCAGATTTTTGCATAGAGTCTCGTCGAGTTTACGCTTTTTCTTCCCCCCCCCCCCCCTCGTTTAATCGTTTGTTTCCCTTATTCAGTATCTTTCAACGTCTGAAATGTATCGCATTTATTTAAAAAGGTACAATTTTTATTCCAAATTGAACTTGCTAATGAAATATCGCGAGACAAAGATCTCTTCTAAACTAAGATTTCAAACAGGATCGTTTTTTACTTACATTACCAACTTGTGCTTGAAGTTTATCGCAAAATTTCTTTCGTCCTATTCTCGACGATTCTCGAAAGCGTGGGTTACTACAGTCTTTCACACTGGAACTACCAACGACCAAAACACAGAATTTTCGTCAGAGACATTAAAGCGAGAAAGATCATTTAAATTTCCAAAAATACGCTGTTTCACGGATCCGTCTGACAAATATGTCCAACGAAAATTATGAATTAGTCATTTTGACCACCTAGGTAGTTCCACGTGTGCTAGTAAACGCAACAGACATGGGAACATTTTGTCGTATCGTTCTTACCTTGCACTGCACGTGTTCCAAGAACCGGACCTCGTTCAAGGAGCCAGCGCAGCCAGTCACATCCATGGACACGCTGAGCGTGTACCCGTAGGTCGGATCGATACGCCTCTCCTCATTGATCTCATCGGACTTGCAGATATGTTGAGGCGGCACGTTGGTCCACTGCTCGGCCAGGTTCACCATCGCACCGGCGTCCATGAGGCCGTAACCGAATTTGTGGGAGACCTTTCTCTTCACCCCGTTGAGGATCCAGCCGGGTTCCTTCTCGAGCGGGGCCGACCTCGACGTGAGCACCACCAGGTACTGCATGTCCCTCCAGGTGAGGCTCGGGTTCGCCTCGAGTGCCAGCGCGGCGATTCCGGCGGCCAACGGCGCCGAGGCGGAAGTGCCCGTGTGCTCCACCGTGCAAATGTGATCCGGTCTCAGTTTCGCGTCCATGTCCACGGTGGCGACGCTCTTGTCGTTGCCGGGCGTGCCGGACGAGTAGGTCGAGGCGAGGGTCGAGCTGCATTCTTCGAGGTACCAGGGTTTATAGCCGCCCTGCGTCGCACTCGAGATGGACAACGTGAAGATGCTGTTGGTGTAGCCGTCGCAGTTGCACGAGTCCGTGTGGCGGCCACCGTTGCCGGACGCCCACACGAATATGGAGCCCTTGCCTTTGCGACCCTGCGTTCCGTCGTTTGCAATGGTTAAAATTGAAATTTCCATCGCGGGAGATGCCAATCTCCTCCTCAAAGTTCTCTCATTTCGAATCTCATTTGGAATATATATATATATACGTGTGTGTGCCGGCGGAGGACATACAATTTTTCAGTTGCACGTTTCAAATTGAAGAGGAGAGAAGACGGTGGAGCAAAGGAAGATAAAGACGAGGATAAATTTCTCTGAAAAGCGAAAGAGGCCGACTTACGCTGGTGACACCGTAGATAAACGCCCTCCTGGCTAGAGGGCCTGGGCCATCGACGGTTTTCCCGTCGTCTTCCGGGCCCCAAGACGCGCTGTATATATCGATGTGATCAGGATTCAATCCCAGCGCTCTGGCTTCGACGGCATCGTTTACCGGGCCATCGAGCATTCGCACGCCTGAGAACACGAGCGGTATGTGCGTTAGATAGCTTTCCTTCTCGTTGCTCGCGCTTACCCTTCTCACCACCCTTTCACGCAGGGATTTTGCATGGAATTCGGGGCGCCTAACGAAACCGAACACACGAGGATAGAATCTAGTCGGTAAGAAAAAGTAGCAGAGATCCCCGCGGAATTCTAATTATCCTCATCCCCACCCTTTCTCCTCCCTCTCACATATACATATACACACTATACATAGTTTTAATCGTGAAATTCCATCGGTAGGAAAAACGCGCCGCTTCGATACGCGCCGCTGTCGTATACGTTATTCCGAACGCGTTAAATCGAACACCGGGCTGTTGACATGCATTTTAATGGAAACGAGCCGATAATGTTATCGGAACTCGATATTCCCTCGAGATGAAACGACTTATAACCAGCGACGGGCTTAAGTCGCCTGGCATACTCCGAGCATTGAACGCCAAAGTATCCTGTTTGGGAAATTTATGGTGTAACGAAATAGTGAGTGTTGAATGACGAAAGAGAATAAACGGAATATCTCTCGGATAACACGTAGATGACAGAGAGAACAAAAATTCCTTCTTTGAGAGTAAATTTCTTTATGGATATTTTATTTGTTTCAAAATACTAAAGTATTGAAATTATAATCAACATAATTTGCACTACAAAACGTACAAAGCTTTACTTCGACTGAGAGAAAAGTGAAGGGCTCCAAATTTTTCAGCTTCGAGTTCTTCTTCCTAGTGACTTTTTATGGAACAAATCATAATCTTGTGTGTCTTGTGGAGTCTCGCGTTGTTCGATCATTCGAAAATTGCAAATTGAAGCTCGGATGTCGGATTTGCGCGTTGCCAACTCGAGTCCATCGCTACTTATCGAAACGATAACGGTGCGGCGCGGTGACTCGATACCGAGAAATGAGCGACACTCGGGCTAATTATCGGTGAGACGCGAAAGAAGAAAGTAAATTGAACGCAGAATCGACGATAAGAGCGTTCGGAACAAAGCCGACAGATGTTCAGATTGCTGGAGGCACCGAGAGATCACACTGGGGATGAAATTTACTTGATCTCGTGGAGGTTGATGAACATCGAAGCGGAGATTTTCTAGAATTAATCGCGTTAAATGCACATTTGTAGCGTTCTTTATTGCCAGTTATACACAATCGTTTCAGACTTATCATCTTTACTTTCGATCTTTATGTTATATCCGCGTTTCGTTCTGTTCGAAAGAAACGAATCGAGCGACGTTACCTCGAAACATCCGGGGATTCCGTTGAAATGAAAATTTTCGCGCACGTTGGCGCGAGCCACGGAGGCACGAAATTTATGTGGATGAAATTTATGTCTGCAAGGATGCGTGATGTTAATTTTGAAATGGACCTCCATTGTTCGGGAGTTTCTAACAGATGATAGTTTCAAGTGTCAACAGCTGGCAGACAGAATATCCGGAAATTGTTTTACGAGGGAAACGCGCCACATTTCGGGTTGCCACCGTTTCTCGTTTAGATTGCGTTTAAAGTGTCTAAGAAATTATTAACCGAGAAAAAGGAAAGAAAAATATCTCGTTACGAATGTTTCGCAACATTTTCAATTGTAATTGTAATAAAATTCGGAGGAGGGGAACGTCGTTACGCTGCGCTCCGATAACATCCATGCAAATTGAAAATCCTGCCCATCTGGTTGTAATTAATACGTTTCGAAAATAACGCGTAATTATAATATTAATACAATGCATCAATATCATTATAGGAAATTGTTGAAGCAGCAGTGTACTATGATGTTTGGTTAATCAAACAAGTTCCGAATATCGTTGGCGATGAATACCGTTGCTGAAAAAACTTTTATGCAAATTGTTATTCTAAACATCAAGCCGTTTCGGTTGCCATCGCGCGAATTAATGTGTAACGCGCACGACCAGAAACAATATCCCCCTTCCCCTCCGCCGTAAATTAATTTGATTATTAATTCCCCCTCTCGCGGTACACGAGCATTTCTCATTTGTTCTCTCGGCTTATGAAACTCACGACTCCTTGTTAAAAATTTCTTTTCCATCGCTTCTCGATTCCCAGTTCCGCCAGAGTAACCAACGTAAACACGACAATTTCCCAGAAAACTCTTTCCAACTTTCATTCTCGCTGCGCTCCCGAATTGGAGCTCGAGCAAACAAATATCTACAAGAAAGTCGAGGGCGAGGGAGACGGAGGCAATTTATATCGGGGAATAGCAGCGAGACGTCACTTCTAATCAAGAGGGCCGTGTATTTCCGAATGGAATTTAATTCGCTGCTGTTGCGTTTTCATTTTCGGAACAGAGCCCCGACGATTATTTACAGCGCGGAGCTTTTATATCTTTCTGTCGTCTCATTCCTCTCGTTGGATCCTCTGCGCGTCTTCCTCGCACGACTCACGCCTAAAGAGTGGCTTTTCCAAAGATATGTATCAACGGCACGTTACGAAATTTGTAATTCGTTTCTTTCGTTTCGATCCCTTGGACTGGATCCAAAGGATTGAACTTATCGAGAACCTCAGCAAATTATACTTGCTGACTCTCCTGAAAGTCGACGTAGCAATTGCTAAATCAGATATCCGTAGATTCGTCTACAGTCGTCTACAGTCCGTAAAGACTGTAACCTCAATGTACGAAGTCTATATTCTTATTAAACTTAGTTCTACTGCTAGACGTAGCTAAATTGGAAAAAATCTCGAACGACGTTTCCAAAGCTAAAAAAAAGAAAAAGTAAAAAGTAAAGTGTAGATGTGTTCGTTGAAAATTTCCGCGTGACCACTTTTTCCAATTAGAAACGCAGCTCGAGACTAATTAGACATTGTTATAGAACGGCCAAATGACGGGGGAAAAGTTGGGAATCTTTTACCTCCGATGCTTGCATTGTAAGCAACGCCGACGCCGCAATATTGGTTGAAGGCAACCGCGGCAACTTCGCCGGCGCAACGTGTCCCGTGCTTGTTGTCACCGTTGTCTCTTGGCATCGGGTCATTGTCATTGTCATTTATGTCCGTACTGGCTTGGTGATCATAATTCAAAGCCAGATCCGGATGATTTGTCTGTATGCCGTCGTCGAGGATCGACACGACGACATCCTTGCCAGTGTAACCCTTCTGCCACGCTGGGCCAAGATTCATGTCATAACCGTCCTTGGCTCCGCCGTTCTGAAATCAGACGAGTATCGTTCTTCCATGATTAATAGGAATCTGACCGTGAATTGTATCTAACAATGAGCGAGGCTCACGAATGGACATGTATTGTATTGCATCAATTGTAATTAATAACAATTTCTTTAAATTGTGTCTGAATTATCGACACAAATACCAAACCTACTCAAAGACGATGAAACATTAATTTAATTTGACATAACTTTGTAAAATAGGCAACTTGGGCTCACTTTGGAGCATGAAACTTGTACCTCGATAGTGGTGAATTTGTTATTTTCGAAAAAAATTTACCGCGTTGCTGGAAAGTTAGCTTACCGTAAGATTCTTCGTCAATTTGAAAAATTTTGGCACGGCGCATGTACGTGCATTCTACACGTGGGATAAAAGCTGACTGTTCATCAATCTCTCGCACGTCTTCGTCCATAAAACAACGCGTACACCATGTAATGGGTTCCTTGAAACCCATGCAATACTTTTGTCAATAGCTATTTTTCACGTGACACATAATTCAGAGGTGACTCGAGGTGTGTTATCGACGAGACCCGCCTCGTTTCTATCCTCTCTCGTTCGACAGCTATTCGTCATATAGACAAAAATTTGATTAGAATTATATCGAAAAGTTCCGACGTTGCCGCGAACGATAAATTCACCAGCTCTGACACGCAAACGAAAATATGATTTATCATTGTTCGCACGGTCTGTGCCGCGAAAGAGCCGGCTGATATTTATCGCACGGCGATAATTAATAAAAAAGTTAGACGAGTTAATTAATTCCCGACAAAACGCGTTGTTATAATTGCGTTTCGATTCGTTTCGTCGCAACGTCTACAACGCGTGTATCTCTCGTCGACGTATCTGTTAATTCACTATTTTTAATGTTTTACGCGACTGATTTCGTCAAGATTTTCGCTCGTTAGATTCATTTCTCCGTGATTTTCCTATCGTAGGAAATTTTTTTCGGTTTGTATCACGCGTTTCGAAATTTTATTAGCAACGAATATAGACCAGAGGTGGCTAACTGGTGGCTCTTGCCCCCACTTTCGCTGGCGCTACCCCCTCCACGCGATTTCGCATCTACCACGCGCTGATTTATTTTAAATTCGCGACAAGTAACATTGAATTTATATTAATGGAAAGTGAAAACGAGAGAAAATATTGTCGACAATCTTTGTTGAAAGTTGCACTCGGAAAATTTCTAAAAATTTCCTTTTTATTTCCTCTTTTGTCGTCATTCGTATTTCTTCGTTTAGATCTCACCGTCTCGTGGAATTTTTACTTCTTTCCAGAGTAATCATGGAATCTGCAATATTCTAAAAGTTTGTAAAACTTTGACAGCTCTTAAAGACAATGTTTTATTTTTATTGACGAAAGCCTCTTAAATGGCGGTTGATACGCGACAATCGTCAATCAACCGCGCGCGTGTGTGTAAAATTTCTTCAGGGGTGAGAATTTCTTCGCGGGAATACCTTGAGTCGCTGAACGGTTAACGGAAAATTAAACGAAGGTAATTTTTTCCCGTGCAGCGGTGTGCAAATGTTTTAACTGCGAATCGCGTCGATTCGGTCGCGGAGCCGAAAATGAGAAAACGAGAGGAAATTCGATACGGATTGCTCGCGGAAAAAGGAGGGGAAGAAAGATTGCCTGTTAACCGATTAAACAGAGGATAATTGAATGAGGCGAGCCATGCAAGAAAAATGGAAGTGTTTGTAGAGAATGTTGAACAAGACCACGACGAAGCTATGAACTGCAAATTAACCGGGCCGCCGAATAAAAGGGAGGAACCGGGTGATAACCAGCGAGAAACGCAATGAAAGAGGAGACGAGAAATGGAAACGGCGAATGAAAAGTTTAGATCAATCTCTCGTTCCCGGTTCTCTCCGCTCCACGACCTCATCCTTTTGAACGTTCACCAACATTGTGTTCAATTGTTCTCTGATTTTAGAATGAGATGAAACAGGAGTCTTTCTGAATGAAACACGCACGTTTGAGATCGCGAAATTACTCCGTTTTACGATTTAATCTGTTGTTTTTTTTCGACACAAGTTTTCGTGCATAGTCAGCGGCCATTACGATTTTTCTTTTGTATCTTTTAATCAGCAAACAGGCTTTTTATTCGTTAGGCCAACACGTTTGATCACCGGTGACCAAGTTTATTTAAGAATAGAATAACTTTGAAAATTCAGAATATAATGACAAATAATGTATAAACTTAAAGATGTGCGAAATTTGTCTCTCCAATTGCAACCAATGTAAATTCAAACGATTCAAACTTCTTAATTTCGTAGATTCGGGTGTACATATATTTTAATCGGTAGTTTTCAAGGGAATTTCGAGGTCCAACGGTCTCAGGCTTTATAGCATAATTTCACAGGCGACGACGTTGAAAGCAATTGCAAAGCCATTGAACTTGATACTTAGCGAAGCGAATGATCGAGACGCGAGCGAACGATTGGAAATTATTGGGCGCAACGCGCGTGTGACGATCGGGTTTTTGACCGTTCGCACAGAAAACGCGGAATTCTGAAAAATTGTTTCATCAACGAGATTCCAGCAGGCATCAAACATTCTTTTTGTCACTGGCCGGCGCTCGTGTGTCATCGGTCGTTGTTCTTGATGCTGATTGCACTTTGATTGAATAGCGATATGAAACTAGTCCAGAATTTCGTCAGAATTTCGTCAGAATTTTGTGCTGCTGCGCGAGAGCCGTAAATAACCAGAGCGTGGAATTATACGCGTTAGATTGATGTTATTCGCGCGTTGCGCGAGTCTGCTTGCTCCTTCGAAAGAAAATTTCAACAGTCACGCTCCGGAGCGGAATGGTTCTACGTAACGACGCGTAACTCGATCGATTTTAATTGTTCTCGCTTGAGAAAAGTACCGAGTGTTCCTCGATCGTTGGGGCATGCACGTGCAAAATGCTGATTCCGAGGGGTGAAAAAAAGTCTCCAAAAAAATATTTGAAGAAAAATCTTTGGAGAGAAGCACACGAATCTCAGTGTGAAGTGAAAAAGAAAAAAAAAAGAAAGAAAAAGGAAAGAAAAGCAGATAAAAAGGTAGATTGGGCAAGTGGAAGGGACGAACTGAATTCGGAATATGTTATAACTGGTACGTCGTTAAGTCAGCCATGTTCTTGGAACGTAGTCGCGTCACGTAGTTGGTTTTGGTCGAGGTTCCAGGGAAGTAAAATCGAAGGGCCCACTTACCAGGTACCACTGTTCCTTAAAGAGCGGATCCGTGAACAGGTTTTGAAGAGGCACACCTCTGTTTCTTTGTCGGTGGTACGTGGCCTGCCTAGAACGCGGCCCGAACTCGTCGAAGAACGCCGGATAATCGGCGAACGCGAACGACGTCGGCACGAAGTCCCTCTTCTTCCGTTTCTTCTCATGCTGTTGCTGGAACCACCGTACCTACGACAGAAGGGAAAGAGAAAATAGAAAATCAACCAATTTTTCCTTGGGACAACAAAGAGAATCGCGATTCGATCGCGTTGCATTTATTTCTACGCATTTCGGAGGAATCTAGAAATTTTCCGCTTAAAACATCTATTCTTTTACAACTCTAGCACTTGGTGAAAAATTTAAATTTGCTCAAATATCCGTGATACGTTTATTTCTGTGCATTTGGGGGAAATTTAGAAAATACGCATCTGCATAGATATCCGTGGTCCAGAGTGTCGGAATAACTTTAGCCACAATTTGCCACGAATAGAAATTATTCAGTACGCTTTTATTTAAAAGCGATTTCACTTTGTATCGAGAAGCTTCGCTTCGTTTCAACCTTCTGTCTGTCATTTCGAAAAAAATTCGATTTCGCTCGCGGAATTTGATTCTCGTGGCTCGAAGTGTTTTCAAGGGGAGTAAGGAACACACGTTCGAACGCAAATATCATCGCGGTATGACGTTAATGTTAAACGTGATTGATTTATCGCGGCAATGGAATTGAAATTTATTTCGCTTGATGTGGTCGATATTCGCGTATCGCATGAAATTTCGCGGTTTTTGCGTTTAACAGAGTTGCGCATTTAGCGACCCGCACGCGCGTGTGTGCTTTTGATGAGATTTCGCATGGAATTTTGATATGGTTTAAATGCCGCGGAATATCGGCGAGGCAACAATCGCGATTGCTTTTCGTCGTTGATATTTCAGAGATTTGTCAATCCAAAGGATATCGTAAATGAGTTGCTCGATGAAATTAAATACCTTTTCGATAATTGTATAATTTCGTGTCGGTGTTTCGGTTCACCCGGGAAACGAGATTAATACGTCTGTTAATTCGGCTGCGTTCAATCAATCAATCAACCCTATTTTCGAGGTTCAGCGAAACCTCGGTGGAAAGAAATTGTTTTCCCCGTGATCACGGTGGATTGCGAGTTTGGTGGAAATTTTTCAACCTCCTTCGAGACATCGCGTCGCTGAAACGAACTGCACGATCCCCGAAGCGTTTAATAGCGAAAAACCGACGACAATTTGACGGCGTTGGAGAATTCAGCGCGATATGAACGGATTCGGCCGTATGGCGCCTTGTAAACGGGGCGGGTCATCGACGAGCGGCGTTTCCGCGGTTCAGCTTCAATCTAGCGAAGCGTGAAACGCGCGACACCACTGGCCTCTGCCATCCTTTTCATTCATATCGAACGAGGCGAGAGCCTCGCCGCGAAAATTCACGGCCCCCTGGATTCTGGCCAGTGGCCAAAAAGTCCCTAGGATTCGTCGACGTTCCGCGACGTTCCGTCCCATAAGCGTCACGTAGAACGGTCGTCGTAAAGCGGTCCCGACGTTTGGTTGGAAAAATTTCGACGCTGAATATGTAGAGATCCCGAGCGTTCACCGACACTTAACTTTTCCCTCCCTCGACTATTCGAATGAATATTTCACGATACCCCCGTGGTGGATGAGCTTTAGTCTGAACTCTTGACTTTGACTCCTAGAAACATCGATTTCGAGACCGCCGAGTTTTTTTTTCGCGGAAACGACTCATCGATCAAACCGTCCGCAAAATTTTTGCAAATTCATCGATACTGGCCGTACGTTCGCGATTTCTCTTCTGATGCAGCTGATTTATATATACGACGTCAAACGCAACGATCGAAAGGGCACAAGAGCAAAAGATCTCGCTCGCGTACGATCGTGTACGAATAAAAAGTCGTACAATACGACAGGATTACGATAGTAAACTGATAAAGATCCGGAGCTTACTCGTACTTGATTTGTTTGCATGTTATAAATCGCGTGCTCACAGAACGAGAGACTCTTGACTGCGGATTAATTAAAATAATATTACACGCTTGTTCTAACGAATGTTTCGTTTCGTGCTAGCGAATGAAGAGCGGGGAAAAAAAATGGGAAAATTGGGCAATATTCTTTTATAATAATACACAGGAACGTTTGAAATGTAATACGACGAGAATCTTTTTATTTTAAATTGCAACGTGAGCATTTTATTCCACTTTCGACGAAAAAAAAAAAAAAAAAGAAAGAATATGGGAAATTTCAATCTAGTTTAGCTATAATTATTTTGTGATCAACGAAGAGTAGATTATACCGATTTTTTAATGGGACGTACACAGTTAATGAAACTGAAATCGACTGATTAGAACGTGATGGAGAATGGGGAGGGGGGAGAATGACGTTAATCGTAACGCGCGAGATAGTTATTCGATTTATAGGCCATTAGTAAAGTTCCATTTGTTCGAATAAATTGGCGGATAAAACAGTTTGGGTAATTGGTTCGTTTATGTGGCGATACGCGGTAATTCGATTTTCGCTAGAATGCAAGTCAAATTAACGGCAGCTGATTTTTATTCGAAACCAGGTTACTCCGGAATAATCGTTTATTAACTGGATTGACGGCTAATTGCCAGATTATATAGTTGGCGCGATAAATACGGGAGTAATTTCAAAGTGATTCTAGAAAAAGGATCCCGGTGTTAAACATCAACCTGTTCGAGACTTTTAAATTTAATCTGTCTGCTTGTTAGTTCTTTTTCGTTTTTTTTTTTCTGAAAATATTAAATTGACAGTATCAAGTATTGATGAAAAATGAGGAATGCAAAGAACATTCGGATGCAAATAAGAGCATCAATTGCCTCACAATAACGCAGGCAACAAAACAACAGAATTCCAATAAATTATTCATTAAATAAAATTTCATCTCGATAAACTTGCCGTGTCAGCAGTAATTTTATTGGAAATGGTCGGAAAACAATTGTAAATTAACTGCTCTTCGACAAAAATTTGATCAAAAAAAAAAAAAAAAAAAAAAAAAATACCGGTATTTTTCTTTCAATTTTGTCGCTCAATAAAATTTTAATAAAAGGTGCAATTGGAAAGCTTTTTGAAACCGGCGTTCCTTGATCTTTCCTAACGGTATATATCTATAAATCTCTAGTTTCCGGTAAATCACTGGTATGTCGCACAAGTACCGATGACAGGGAATACTAATCTAGACATAACACGGCATCTTAATCTTACATGACTGGTGAGTAAATACGCACCTACGTATGTACAAGGTGATCTTAGGTAACGACGTTACTGTGTTTAGACACTGCAATTGCTATTTGTCTTGTTCATTGCAAGTGCAATCTTCCTAGACTGCCTCATTCTTCATTCAATAGCTTCTTCGCTTCTCATTTTCGAGAAGTTTTGGTTTCGACAATTTCGATAATTTTTCCTCCTCGAATATCACTGTCCCATCGTATTCATATGGAACTCCAAAAGCAATTGATCGCGTGTTAAAATATTCTTATAAAAGTTGGCAAATACCACACGCTCGATACTTTTCAAGTTTGCAAATAGTTTAATAAATATCGCGTTAGAAACATCTGCACGAACGCGAGCAGTCTCCGTTCTATCCTCTTTCTAACGTTTGACATCTTCCTTTGCTCTTTGAACGAGCTCGAGACTGATTATCTCTTACAAAATCTATTTACCTAGCGCCGGTGTACATTTGCTTTCCATTAACAACACAATCCGTTTGGATATCGAATCGAATCGAATCGAATCGAATCGAACGAACGAAAGATCCCACGATCAATCACTCCTCGCTCGGATATTTCAATCCATTGAACAATCGTTTCTACAGCCTCGCCGTAAATATATGTACGTAGCTGTGCGCGCGTGCGTGCATGCGTGCGTGCGTGCGTGCGTGCGTGCGTGCTGTAATGGTCCCGTATTTGTCGAATAAACCTTTTCAACGGCGTTTCATCTCGGCGCCGCGGTAGTGCTTTATCGGCAGGAGGAAAAGACAATGGCCGCGGCTGAAAAGATGGTGCAAGCACAATATTATCTCTAGAAACACCAGCGATATTCCGCCGGTGTTTTTGCTAGCCGAGGGAAGAACGAGAACGACCAGGGACGATCATTTGATGGCCACTTACCATTACCGTTTTAATGCCACGTTCCACTTTACAATTACGTTCAACTTCGCTGGCCCCCCGCCGTCTTCTTTTCCCCCCAATTCCCTTACTGAGTCGAATTAACTCGAGGATCTTTGTTTTTATGTAACGCGATTCGATCAGGCCGCGGATTTTTGCGGAAATTTCGAATTAACGCCGCTAGGAAAAATTGGGGACATCTGCATTTTATTTATTTATTTATTTATTTTTCACGGGTGAAAAGAAGAAATATACACCCATTAGTACAAAAAGTGATGCAATTATAAGAATTTAAATGCAACGAGTTGTGAGACCGAGTGAAAAATTACAAGGAGATACTACGTAATGAGCGTTTAAATATTTGGTCGATAGATTTGGTTTAACCAAAGTGCAGTAAAATAATCTTCGCGTGTCCGTATTTATTATCTAATTTTAGAAAATTAAATACTTCAGATATTCCCAGCAGAAAGTCTGGACGAAATCTGTCTACCTGTATTACCGATAAATCTACTATAATACCTTCCATTTTCATCCCCCTCGCTATTTCTCGCGCGATAAAAATTATGATCTTTGTCGCTGTTGTAACAGCACAAGTCACGCTTGAGACAGGATGTGGACAGTTTTAATTGCAACGTATGAACGTTACAACAGATAATAAGACAAAATTTTCGCGACATGGGCAAATATGTACGTACGTAGTGACGGGGAGGTGAAAAGCCAACGGAGGATAATATTTAACGTTGAAGATTATTACCGGGTGAATTGCGCTGGTAGAAAATTAGAATTTGCCGAGGCAAACAACGCAACGGAGCCAGGGATGACAGACGCCGCGTGAAAATTACGCGGCTTCTATATTTCGCACCTGTGACCGTGTTCGTTGTTGAAGTTTGATGAGTACCTACCCGGTTGGCGCCTTTAGCCCCGACGACACGCCAAAGATGGAATAATCACTTACCCTCGGCTCGTCCCTCAGCGTCTTGTGATGCGACTCGCTGCTGGAGAGGGATCTCTTGTGAAGTCGTTTGTCAGCGAACAGGAAGTATTCCTTCAGTGCTCCAATCTGCGAACAAACGGAACCAGCCTCTGTTAGTCTCGCCGCGTCGTCGCCTAGGATTAACAAGTTTCGCGTAATTACACCTCTGTGACGGTGAGACTATCATCGTCACTCGTTTCGCTCGCGTCGTGTAGCGTCACGACATGACCCAAAATTTGCAGGGCTTCTCTGGGCAATCTTTACTCTTAACGTTCTCACACACACACACACACACACACACACACATATATATACACATTTTGTGTATATATTTTGGAGTATCGTTTAATTATTTCGCTTGCGTGTGTTAAATTATTAACAATTGTTCAAAGTCTGCGAGTGCTCAAATATCTCTCCGCCAACTGCTAAGCTAAATTTACGAAACGAGGCACTTTGTAAAACGAACTTGCCGCTGCGAGAAAGAACCGCGCGATTTGCATCGATCGAGATACAACTGGCGAGGTGAAAAGTATGGGAACAGAGTCGGGTGGAGTTTCGCGGTTGGAAACGATTCCAACGAGCACTCGACGAATTCGATCCTCGTTGTATTCGATGTAAACGCAGGTTGATTCCTCGAAGCAGACCGATCTGTATTTACGCTCATTAACGAGCACACGGAGCCTCAATTTTAGTTCTTCGATCGATTGGTTCGCCGAGGAAGTAACGAATTCAAAGAGAAATCACATTCCTTTCGCTCGCATGTTCATTCAAGCTTCGCAAGCTTGAAAGTTCCACTCGAGGCTTCTACCGAGAAAGGAGAGAAATGTACCTTGCAAAGTGCTCATTGCGTTTCTTAATGGATCCTAAATGGTACATTTAAAGGATCTGCAGGTTTATTTGCAATTTCCGGGTGGAGCGGATCAAAGAGTGTCATGGTAGGCGGGGAAGAGGGCACTTTAAAAGGTATATCCGTTCTCTTTTCACCGGTTTCACTTGATAACTCGATATTATTGACCGTTACTTCGGGGCTAAAGACAACAATGAAAACGTCTCCTATCAGCATCCCAGAGTGTTCCCAGTGGTGGTCAAACTTTGCTCTCGTCGAAGAATCGTACGACACTCGATTGAAAATTATATTAAACTATACTCAAACGTATTAAGTTTAAACGATATTAAGTTACGAAAAAAGCTATTAAACCACAGAAAATTCAATATGGGCTCGATTAATTAGTAGACTGTGATTTTTCATGCATTTATGGGGAGATTATAGTAATTACAGGAAATAACAGCTTGATATTTGTAATATCAGGGTTTACTTTATTCAAATACACACAGTAGTATATTATTAGTATTATAGGTATTGTTGAAATTGTCAAGAATTTTTGACAGATTGACATATTTAATTCCCAGCAAAGAGTCAGTAGTCAGAATTTAAATAATCCCAGACTCTCACACAGAGCAATCAATTTTATACTTATTTTGCTCCCAATTTGAATTTTACGCAGTGAAAACAATCGTATCAAGATATTGTATTTCTTTCTTAAATTTCAATTTCGAATAGCTTCTTTCCACCGTATATCTAATTTAATCGCGAACGCTTGTTTAACCCCGTAACGCACAGTCTGTTCTCCTTCCTTTCGAAATGCTTGAAACTATAACCGTGGATTTGTTAGAGCATCGATAACTAACAAGTTTGGAGATCGTTAATCCCGCTGGCGAATTTCCTCGAAACTAACAATACGGTTTGCATTATTCATGGCTCGTTCATTCGACTGGTAATTAACAATACCAGCGCTGTAGGTGGATTTCTGCGTGGTTGGATATTTTTCGTTCGTTTTCTTTCCTTTTTTTTTTTTGTTTTTTTTTTTAATTCGAAGTTTCCGAGTTCTGCCGAGTTGAAGAAATTGTAGTCAATTCACGATTCGAGTATTTCGTTCATTTCTGTTTCAGAAATGAACAGAATTGTCGAAGGAATTATCCAAGATTGTAGGGAACATTTCAAGTTGGTTCCTTGGTTTTTAATAATAATTCGCGCGGGGATTTACGCGGGGAAAAATATATCAGCAGTCAGGACCAGACGCTGACGAAGTTTCTCTAAAAATGATGCCCTGTGCTACTGCACATCCACACGATATTGTGAGTCATCCATCAACGTTCTGTCAAGGTTCACTGCACCTCATCGACTTCGTTTTCGAGATGTTATCTCGAAACAACGAAACGATACCTCTATCACGCATGCAACAGCAATCTTACCAGGAGAGACGAGAAATTTTTCAGTTACATTAAATTGAAATTCGCCGACGATCAAAAATATCGATTTGATGACACTCGAATATCATTGTCGAAAATTTTCAACTATTGTACTTAAATGTTACATTTTCGACGAATGGATTGAACTTTGTTGGAAAATTACAAAAGCGGATCTTCGGATCTGTCTTGAAATGAAAAGAGCAGGAAATTTTTGCTTTAACCACGTCACATTTCCCATTCGTTTCGCGAAACGTATGAAAGACACTGTTTCGCTGGGGATGAAAGGCAGGAAGGGCAAAACTGTCCGACTGTCAGCGATCACGAGAAAAATACGACGGTATTGACATCTATCAAAAAATCTTCGGACAGTTTGCGACCCGTTCGTTCCTTATCCCGACAAAGTCTGGCAGAGAATTCTTCTCTCTGACGGTTTCGCGAACATCTCGAAGCCGGCTCGAGTTCAATATTCATTTTGCAAGTCGAAGTTCTCCGCACCTTTGAATTTCAACGCTAAAACTACCGACGACCAAAGCATTTAAAATTCCCATCAGAGACATTAAAGTAAAACAGAAAATCTTTATGATAATACGCGATATAACGCAAGCTTTTATTTATGTATTTTACAGAAGAATCATTCAAGTTTTACGTGAAAAATTTCACCAGTTTGCTGGTGCTAAATTCATCGTAAAAAAATTGTAAATTTCTAAACCATCCGACTTTCAAATCTCTATTACCGATCAAAGTAACGATATCTCTCCCCGTCGATAGAACGAAAATTAAAAACCCGGTGCGGCGATAATATCGTTGAGCAACATACGTTGAATATTCATCGATCGCAATAACGTGGAGTAACAAGTTGCAGGACAATACGCGCGACGAACTCGAGGCGACGGGACAAAGAGGGGAGAGAGAGAGATGGGTCTCGATGGCGTTTGAAGGATTCTTGGTCAGTTTCAGGTCGAGGTGATTACGGTTTTTTTTCCAGCGAGTGCTGATCGATCCGGGACTGACTGGAATGAGGATAAAAACGTCGAGTGGGGCAACGCGGCGCGCGCTGCGTAGCCGTTGCACACGACCAAATTGTTGGCTTGATTTCCCACCGTGCACGGGAAATCCATTTCACGAGCGAGCAGAGAGGCAGCTTTGGGCGAAACGCCGATATTGTTTCCTCGGTCGGTGTGTGCGCCGCTGATTTAAGACGCTTCGGTGCCGGGCTTTCGTCGGATCCTGGAGGACCTCTCAACTAAAGGCCACCTGCGTTGCCCCTGTGACCGACTACTACTACTACTACTACTGTGTTTTCTTCTGTCGATCCCATCATTCCGAAAGGATATTCCCTTGAACCAATGGAACATTCACGAAAGTCGGAGAAGAAAGAAAGAAAGAAAGAAAGAAGAGGCAGGAAGGACGAAAGTTTTAAAATAAATAGCCACTAATGTTCGTTCGTCGTTGGGCAAACTATCATTGGTGTGCGACAATCGGTGATCCTTGGAAGAATTTTGCTTGAAAGAACGAAGAAACCGCCGCGAAACGCAAGAAACGGCGACGTTGCGCTGTTTCGGTAGGAAAAAGAAAGGATAGACGTAGGCAAGAACGCGGGTGGTGATTCATCACACGGGAACCGGGTTGAAACAACGTTAGCAGCGTCGCGGATTGCATGCACGTGTATACGAAGGGAGAGAGAGAGAGAGAGAGAGAGAGAGAGAGAGCGAGAGAGAGAGGTGGAGGGTCGGTGAACGAGTACAGGCGTGTAACACAGTGTCCGAATATAGGCAACGTTAGCAGATAACGGTTAAGTTACCACAGCAACTGAAGGGAAGCCACTAAATCAAACCGAGGCAAGAATGTCTTACGATAACCCGCGCGTGTACCGTGGGTCATCGGTCTACCGGTTAACTGAAGTCCTTCGCCGAGGCTTTGCCTCCGCTATCGTCCTTAGGCAGCGGCGAATTAAGGTAATACAAGCACCGCAGAAGCCACCGGAGTTTAAGGGTTGCGGGTGGACGACGGAATTTCTGTTAAGCGCAGTGGCACGCTCGAGCCGTTGGCTGTCAAAAGCTCGCGGTTTCGTGGCGGTTCCCGAGATATTCGCGGATAAACCGATAAACGGTCTTCGTGCGAAGAATTTTTTCTCTTCTTCTATCCGTCAATGGGGAGAGGGATAATTTCGTATCAATGACCAGTAGTTTTAATTACCCTGCGAGTTTTGGTGAAAATTCACATCTTCTCTCTAATTGTAATTTAAAAAGACGATGGAATCTTTGTAGAAAATTGTCTCGTGTATGGGACATTACAAGAGACGTTTCGTGCCGCTTGGATTCTGTGCAATTTCGCACTTGCAAATTTCCTGTGAATGCATGAAAACCCCTCGGTCGTTTACGAGAACGCTACTTTGTCAAACACTTTAAACCTTTTAATGCCGAATATGACGATGGTGTAAGTACTTGTTACAGGTTATGCATCATTATGAATAACAATTTATTTACCTTTTGAAACATACTTTGACGAGTTCTCTCGGCAAGCTTGTAATTTTCAGCTCAGTTGCAAAATGAAGCTTTTACCATGTTTTCGGCGCTAAAAGGGTTACTAAATAAACATTACTTGATACTAATTTTACGGTGGAAAGTTGATCGATAATCTCAACAATGGTTTATGACAAGTTGCAAGCTCCCCTCAGTTTACAATTCACGACAAGGTTTCTTCATGAATTTTCGTCTGGGGGTTGGGTTCCGTCCGATAACTTAGAACGCGTGACTAGTGAAATATCTGTGATATTAGTTCAATGGCGCAAGATGGTTTAGGATGGTGGTGGAACATAGGTGGGTGGGTTCGATTTTGAACATGGACGGAGCAGGAACTCCGTCATTGGGCAGCGTCGAAACCGCAAAAGCTCTACCGACCGCCGATTTGCTTGTCCACGATGCTGAACACGTAGCAGCGATATCATGGCCTCACCCTCTTCGCCAAACAGGATAT